CCTGGCTGTGATCATCTTTGATCAGGCAGGGTTGCAGATTGTCTTCTCGGGCTGGTTGGTCCTGTAGCTGGGCAGACTGCGTGATTGGCTCTGGGGCTGGGTGAGGTCTCTGGGGTCACCCTATGGGATGGGCAGGGCCACAGGTTGTGCTCTGCAGATGTGTGACCTTGGACTGAGAGTTCTTGAAGTAACTGCCCGGAAGCTGGGGTTGAGCAGGGCCGGATGTTCCTTCTGTTGATAATTGCTGACCTCAGGCTGCTTCCTGCTCTGGAGAGGACTCCTTGAGAAGCTTGCTGTGTGGGGCGCCTGGCCAGAGACTTAGCCCTAGAAGACCCAAGGACTGTGTTTCTTACAGGGGATGTTGCTGACCAGTCTCTCTGGCACAGCCCCTCTGCTGGCCAGTATGCAGAGATCTGTGAGCTGGTGGCTGCGTCTTCATCTTACCCCGGGTGGTCCGGCTCTGCCAGGACTCCCATTGTGTCCTGTGGGATGAGACCAGCGTGGGCCTCCTATGGAGGGATCCAGAAGGGTGGGGAAGCTGCATTCATCTGCCTTCAGCTCACTTTTGCCACTGTGGAAGCCGCGGCCCCCCCAGGAGTTCCGTGTGGCGCTGTGCCGGCTCAGGGGGCTGCTGAACCACTCCGCTCACCTTTCAGTTTGGGCTCTTTTTTTGGTTCTTGGCACATCTGGGCATCTCGGTCTTCTTCCTGAGTTCTGGAATGTTCTTTTTCTTTCAGTATATGTGCTGCTGAAGCAAGCACTTCTGGGATAGTCTTGATGGCATTCTTGCCTGTGAATAGTTGCTAGTTGGTTTTCTGTGAGGCAGAGCCAGTGGGAAGTCCCTCCCCTCTCCTCTCCTCTCCTCTTCTCTCCTCCCCTCCCCTCCCCTCCGCTCCCCTCCCCCTCCCTTCCCTTCTTTTCTGTTCTTCTCCCTTCTACCCCAGGGTTTGAACTCAGGGCCTTCGCACTGTACTACATCCCCAGCCCTTTTAATTTTTTATTTTGAGATATGATCTTGCTGAATTGCCCAGACTGAGCTTGAATTTATGATCTTTCCACCTCCGCCTCCCAGAGTGTAGGGATTACAGGTGTGTGATCACTCATGTCCTCCTTTTCTTATTTTCTGATGCATTTCAAATTCAGCCCTGAATACTTCAGTATGTATGTGATTAACTAGAATTAAATACTTGTTTATGGTTATTTTAAAAATAAAATTTATAGACTGAAAATGCAAATCTTCATTCAGTGAGTCTTGACAAATGTAACCTACACTCCTGTCAAGATACAGAGCACCACCGACCCAGACAGTTCTCCTTTGGCCCTTCACAGTCAGTTCTCAGCCTACCTGCACACCAGGAACAGCCACAGTTCTCTTTATTTTTCTGCCATAGGTTAGTTTTATCCATTCTAGAATGGAACAATACAATATGTAGATGCGTATATATATATATATATATTTTTATCCATTCTAGAATGGAACAATACAATATGTAGATGC